CGATGGGGGCTGGGGCCAGAGGGCTTCTCAGAAGCGCCCACAGAGGTTGCTGCTGGCAGGCAGACGCCATCTTCGAAGAGGTCCCTTTCCCTTGGACGGGAGGCCCGTTCTCTACCCTGCTTCAGCTGAGGGGAAGAGCCGCCCCGTCCGTAAATGACCGGTTATTTTTTCCTTCAAATAGTTCCAGTACCCTTAATCGTATGCAAATATGCACTGATGTCCTTGAAACTGATTGGATTAACCAAAATTGTGGGGGTCTGTGCAGGGTTAATTGGACCAGGGGACCCAGTCTTTTCAGCCAGAATCTTCTCCCTGCTTGCCTGGGGAGGCCACAGCCTAAGGAAACTTGCTCAGAGAGATACTGTGACTCGGTAGGATAGTAATGATAATGAAGATAACGATAATTGCTGATCCTGATAATGACTTGGACTGGGTCCTTGGCGAAGTATGAGTAAGAGGCAGCTCCGGGCAGGACGAGGGTGGAGCCCTCACCGCTGGGGGCGATAGCCACAGGGAGGGGGCCCTGGAGGCGGAAGTGCTTGTTCCAGGACAGGAAATCCTTGGTTTCTCCTCCAGCCGGACACTCGGTGGGTGGTCACAATGGCTGGCTCTGCGTTTCTCCTGGAGGGAGGGCAGGAGGGAGCTGGACCGGCCCAGAGCTCCGTGTCCTCCGCAGCTGAAGAGATAAGACCTTCCTTCATCTGAAGGCATCTACGAGGGCCGACGGAAAGTTTTACAAAAATAGAAAAGACTGTTAGTTGGGTTCTAGCGCTGGGCCTGACCAGACCCTTCGTGCCAAGCTGGGCCTGAGAGGCCTGGGTTCAGACCCCATCCTGGGCTCTCGGTGCTTGCAGGTGGCTGTTGGGAAGCACTCGTGAGAAATGGGGGAAGTTGCATTTTCTTTTCATTTTATTTACATACGTATTTATACAGACATGCGTATACGTATACTTTTTTGCTCTTTATAAAAAGTTTATAGCTTTCATGCAGTAGTTCAGGTTTTTTAAAATATGTCATTGTTTATACAGTAGTAAGATAGTCATATTATTTATACTTTACCTATAAGGTTATTTACGTGGTGTCTTTGGGGCAATATTAAGTGTAATACTCGTGGAACTTTGAAACATTGGGATGAATTGGGGGGGAGCAGGCTAGGACTAAGGGGAGGGCTGACCCCTAGTGGTGGCTCCTGGGAACAGCATTTGCTGCCCGCCAGGATCTTTCTCTCTTGCCCTGTTCTGTCCCTCGGGCAAAGGTGCCCAGGCAGCACCCCCTGCCCCCTGCCATGCCTTCTGCTCCTCCAGCCCGGCAGGAAGAAAGCCCTGAGTCGCCTTTGGCAGTGCCCCCGTCGAAGTGGTCTTTCCCCCTCAATCCAGCCTCAGGGTAGGAAAAGCGGCTCTCTGTTTGGGAACTGTGGCAGTGGGGACAGCAGAGGGTCAGCAAAGACCACGGTTTGGTGGCCCAGATCTCCTTCCCAGTTTAAGCACCCGGAGCGTTTCCTTTTAGGAAAAAAGTGCCTGAGGGGCAAGACATGGGAGTGGGTGAGCCGCGCCCCATAGATACGAAATCATGGCTGTGAAAGGGGCGTGTAGGTGGGCGGGCTTCTAAGCAGAGGCCCTGCTGCTCCCAGCACCACCATCTCCTGCACAGGGTCTGGGGGATGGGGGGTCCTCCTCTGCGGGTGTTTTCCTGGTGCAGAGGCCCAGAGGGGCTGCCCCCGTCCCTGTGCTGGACCCCGCTTGAAAACCGCTCTTTCCAGCCAGAGCTGGCAGAGGAATTCAGGGCTGCCGCCGGCTCCCCCCGCCCCTCAATTTGGAGGAGGCATCCTTCGAGCCGAGGGATCTTTCGCTGGCGCCGGAGCCGCTCCGATCGTTGGCAAGGCCCGGGCGGCGGGAGTCCCGGGTCTCCAGGGGGCACGGG